AGAGAAAATCAGAAAGATGTTTACCTGTGCTTTATTGAATACACAAAGTCTTTCGACTGTGTGGATCATGACAAGCTATGGACAAAATTGTGAAGTATGAGTATTCCGGAACACTTAATTGTGATCATGAGGAATCTGTACATAGACCAAGAGGTAGTTGTTCAAACAGAACATGGGAACACTGAATAGTTTAAAATTAAGAAAGGTGTGTGACAGGGTTATATTCTTTCCACAAACTTAGTCAACCTGTATGCTGAGCAAATAATCTAAGAAGCTGAGTTCTATGAAGAAAAATGTGGCATCAGGATTGGGGGAAGACTCATTATGAACCTGAGAAATGCAGATGGTACAACCTTGCTGTATGAAAGTAAAGAAAGACTTAAACTATATACTGATGAAGATCAAAGAGCACAGCCTTTGGTATGGATTACATCTCAATGTAAAGAAAACAAAAATCCACACCACTGGACCAATAAATAACATTCTTATCAATGGAGAAAATGATTGAAGTTGTGAAGGACTTTATTCTTCTGGGATCAACTATCAGCACTCATGGAATATTAAAAGTGCCATGGACTGCCAAAAGAACCAACAGATCTGTGTTGGAAGAAGTGCAGCCAGAGTGCTCCTTGGAAACCAGGATGGCCAAACTTCATCTCTCATACTTAGGACATATTGTCAGGAGGGACCAGTCGCTCGTGAAGAATATCATGTTTGGTAGGGTGGAGGGTCAGAGAAAAAGAGGAAGACCCCCGGCAAGCTGGATTGGCAAAGTGGCAGCATCAATGGGCTCACGTGTGGCAACAATAGTGAGGTTGGCCCAGGATTGGGCAGTGTTTAATTCTGTTGTGCATAATATCTTTATGAGTTAGTACTAACTCTATGGCACTTAGCAACAACAGCAATGAATTATACAAGTCCTGATGTGGCACTGTGGATTAATGCACTGACATTCAAAGTCTGTTTGAATCACAAAGTTGATAGTTCAAGGTCAGAACCAACTTGATGATCCTTAACAACAACAACAGTAAGTTATAGTTATAAATATATTCCAATTTAATTACCTTCTATAAATTTTTCTTTGTTTATGTGTAATGTCTGTGCAGATTTCTGACAATATTTATTAGAAGTATTGGCATTCATTGTGTTGTATTTTTTTAGTTCTTTGCATATTAAGAACACAATTATTTTGTCTAATACGAAATTTGCAAATATTTGTCCTTTGCCTTTCCTGACTCTCCAATATTTTTATTGTTTTTTATTCTCTTAAAAATACTTCTTGCCTTTTACAGACCAAGAGGTTTTTCATTTTCTGAAGTTTACCATATTGATTATCATCAATGGGCTTTGATTTTATGTCATATCTAAAAACTCTGTACAATTCATGGTCCTAAAGGTATTATCTTTTCATTTATTCTTAGAACTTTTGGGGTTGTTTTTTAAAGCTTTAGATGAAAGTTTGATTAGCAAAAGAAAACCTTCTAAGACTGAAACTCAAATGAAATGCATGAACAAGCATTTAGGCTTGCTGGTGCCCATGATGGTCTACGGTGAGTGGAAGAGGGGGGAGAAGGCAGTAATGAAGAAATTGGCTGAGTTCAACCATCTTCTCTGTAAACTTTCACTCAATCCACAATAAAAACCTTAAAAAAAAGTTTGAACAGCAAGTTAAATTTCCATTTACAAGTTCATACACAAACTATTTTCAAACATTGTTTGCAATACCAGCAAAGTGTCAGCAGTCTCCTCGTTGCAACCCAGTATTTCCTGTTTCCATTATTCTGGATGCCTATTACCAATTATCTTCTTTGTCTGTTTGGGAGGAGATATCCTTTTGTTCCTTATAGATGACTGTTTTAATGAGCAAGTTTCTGGGTAAAAATTGATTCTATACCATTTGTAACTGTGGTCTCATTCAATATGTGTCTTTTTCTGAATGGCTTATTTTACTAAGCATAGAGTCCTCAAATTTCATTCAAGTTGTGAGATGTTTCAAATATTCATCATTATTTTTTATCATTATGTAGGATTCCAAATGTTGTAATGAACATGGGTGTGACTGTAGCAAAGAATATTGAAATGATCATGGATACCCAGAAGAAAAAGCTTATCTGTCTTGAAAGAAATACAGAGAGAATGCTCTCTAGAAATGAGGATAGCAAGACTTCAGCTCTGGTACTTTGTACATATTTTATGAGAGACCTGTACCTGGACAAGGCTATCATGTTTGGGAAACTGGAGGGTCAGAAAGCAAGATGGATTGATACAGTGACAGAAAAAATTATTTCAATTGTGAGGATGGTGATTTACAAGGCAGTGTTTTTGTTTTTGTCTTTGTTTTTGTTTTCTGTTGTGCATTATAGGGTCATTATGAGGTGGAACTGACTTGACAACACGTAGCAACAACAAAAATTTATGTCATAATGCTTATTTTTTTAAGGATATGTACCTATGAGTGGTATATTGTTGAATCATACCATATTTCTATTTTGAACTTTTTAAGTAATGTCATACAATATTCCATAGTGGTAACATTTAAACTATCAGTGTTTAAGAGTTTCAATCTCCCCATATCTCTATCAGTATTGCTGTTTTCAGGGTTTTTTATTATTATTTTTTAATCTATGATTTTCTCCCTGGAGTTTAAATGTTCAGTTATTGCTAATAGCCACCATCTCATCTCTTAAAATATTAAATTGAAAATCCCACCTTAATTTGGAGACCATCTCTGGAAGAGATTTCGCTCATTAGACACTAATGACCAAAGACCAAAGAGTTGTGGAATAACATCAAGAACATCATATGGGATGAAAGCAAAAAGTCATTTAAGATGGCAAGAAAGAATGAAAAGACCAAAATGAATACCATAAGAGACTCCAAAACTTGTTCTCTGTCTTAGAGATGTTAAAACAAATGGAAGAAATGAGGAAGTAAAAGAGCTGAGTAGAAAATTTCAAATGAAAGACAAACTGTAGTATAATGAAATGTGCTAACAATTGGTGTTAGAAAATCAAAAGGGAACAATACTCTCAGCATTTCTCAATCTGAAAAAATGGAAGAAAAAAATTAAAACCTTGTTTTAAAACATTCTATGGACAAAATATTGAATGATGCAGAACGCATCAAAAGAAGGACTGAATACATAGAGTCACTGTACACAAAACAAGTATTTGTTGTTCAAACATTTCAAGAGACAGCAGATGATCAAGAGTCAAAGGTTCTTCAGGAAGAAGTTCAAGGTATGCTGAGGGCATTGGCAAAGAACAAGACTTTGGGCGTTAATGGAATATAAATTGAAATCTTTCAACAAACTGTTGTAGCATTGAAGGCACTCCCTCAACTGTACCAAGATTTTTAGAAGATTGTTATCTGGCCAAAAAATTATAAGCAATCTGTATGTGTCCCCATTTTAAAGAGCAGTTTTTGAAAAACACTGGATAATATAATTTACATAATGTACAAGTAAAATTTTACTAATGATACTTCAAAAGTGGCTGCAACAGCAAATTGTCAGGGAACTGTCAAAGATTCACATCAGATTCAGACAAGGACTTGGAAAGAGGGATACCATTACTTATGTCAGTTGGATCTTGGCTGTATGCAGAGAATACCAGAATGATGTTTACTTGTGCTTTATTCATTATGCAAAGGCCTTTGATAGTGTAGATCATGAGAAGCTATAGATAACATTGTGAAAAATGCATATTCTAGAACATTCAATTGTGTTCAAGAGGAATATGTACATAGAATAATAAGGCAGCCATTTGATCGAACAAGAGGACTCTGAATGGTTAAAATCAAGAAAGATGTGTGCAAGTGTTATATTCTTTCACCATATTTATTCAATTTGCATGCTGAGAAGATAATTGGAGACACTGGGATGGTACCAGGATTGGAAGAAAAGTCTTTAACATCATTTGATATGCAGATGATACAACCTTGCTTATTTGAAGGGAAAAAAGACTTATAATACTTTCTGTTGAAAATAAAGACTACACCCTTCAGTACTGCAACTTAATATAAAAACACTTCTTCATAACTGGAGCAATCAATAGCATCATGTTAAATAGAGGAAATATTCAAGTTGTTAAGACTTCATTTTACTTGAATCTACGATCAACACTCATGGAAACAGCAGTCAGGAAATCAAATGATATGTTGTATTAGTCAAATGTGCTGCACAAGATCTTTTAAGTGTTCAAGAGCAAAGACATCATTTTGAGGACTAAGGTGCTTCTGACCCAAACTATGATATTTTCAATAGCCTCATTTGTGTGTGAAAGTTGGACAATGAATAAGCAAGACTATAGAAAAACTGTTGTATTTGAGATATGGTGTTGAAGAAGAACATAAAAAGCACCATGGACTGCTAGAAGAACAAATAAATCTATGCCAGAAGAACTATAGTCAGAATGCTCCTTAGCAACCAGGATGGCGAGACTTCTTCTCTTATCATGAAGGACCAGTTCCTGAAGAAGGACAGCATGCTTGGTAAAGTGGAAAGTCTGAAAAAGAGGATGTCCCCTAACAAGATGAACTGATAGGGTAGCAGCACCAATGTTCTCAATGGTGCCGGACAGAGCAGTGTTTCACTCTGTTGTATTTTGAATGGGAACCAATTCCATGGTACCTAACAACAACAAAACAACTTCTATTTGTTTAATATTGTTGTTGTTAAGAGCCGTCGAGTCAGTTCCGACCCATAGCCACCCTGTACAGGGTTTCCGAGGCAGTAAATCTTTACGGGAGCAGAAAGCCTCATCTTTCTTCGGAGGAGCAGCTGGTAGTTTCGAACTGCTGACCTTAAGGTTTGCAGCCCAATTAGTAATCACTACACTACCAGAGCTCCTTATTGGCACTCGCTTAATGTTAATTTTTTGAATGCATGAGCATGATATTCTTTTTTTCAAGTATATGTCCTTTGAGTTCCTTCAATAGTGGTGCTGTTGTTGCTGTTGTTTTAATGGGTCAGCCAGTTTTTGTTTATTGACATAAGATACTCAGGACTTGACAGCATACTTCCACAGCGAGTACAGCCACTCCTTCCGCTGCTGTTTCTTGGTCTTCGTGTTCTCCTGGTGCTTGTTGAGTCTGTGGCGCATGGCTTGAGTTTTCTTGGGCCGCAGATCCAGAGGTTTGTACTTCTTATCCTTGTAGAACTTCCTGAGATTCTCCTTGTGAGTCTGGTTGATGACAGTTAGAATTCGGGCAATGGATTTGCGGACAACTCGGATTTTAGAGAGCTTGAACGCTGCACGGCCAGTGACTTTGGTGACGAGTAGCTGAGACAACTCCACCTTCAGGTCATCCAGTTGTTTCTTGCCGCGAAGGTCCCGTGCCTTGATCTTGGCCTTGGCTAAGCTGAAAAAAACCGCGCCGCCAATGGATTTGAGGCCAAGGGAAAGAGGCCCCTGTAGTGTTTTGTAAATTCATTTATTAAGTCTTTTATATCCTTAGATTTATTCCTAAATATTCTGTTATTTTGGAAACTATTGTAAACACTATTGATTTTCTGATTTGGTTTTCATAACCTTATTTGCTAATTTTTCAGGAATCCAACTATTTTTTTGTACATTGATCTTGTATCCTGACATTTTGCTGAATCCCTATATTAACTTCAGTATCTTCTTTTTAGTAATTTGTCATCTACCAATTTTTCAAAATTTTTGTAGTACATTTTTTCATAATATTTCTCCTTATCTCAGTTGGTTCTACTACAATGTCGCCCATATAATTTCTTACGTTGAATATTTGCACCTTCTTTATTTCCAAGTTTATTTATTAGCCAGTTTGTCAATTTTTGAACCTCTCCAAAAATAAAAAAAATCTACTCTTAATTCTTTCTTTGAAATTTTTATTGTAAATTAACAGAAAGCTTACAGAGCAGATCATCAGTTTTAAGCTCAACAAATCATATATTTTGCTTCAACTCAATGCTTATAATCCCTTTAATGTAATAATGCTTACACCACTTCTTCCTGTGGTTCTTATTTCCATTCCATCCTTACCATTCCTTTTGAACTTACTTAATCCTTAAGTAAATATCCTTTGGGTCTTGAATGTGTGAGCATCCCATGATAAGTATACATTAATAATATTGTCCCCATTATGTAACTATCTACCACTTGGCTGAAAATTAGAACATGACAGTGAGTTCTGTTCCAGTTCTGAAGGGAAGCCAATGGCCATAGTCTATTTTAGGTTTTTCAAGTCTCTTTGTGACCAATAAGTCTGGTCTTTTCTTATAATTTTGAGTTATGTTCAACATTTCTTCCACTCTAACCAGGACCTTCTAATGTGATCCCCATTAGAGCAGTTGCTGGTGGTAGCTGGGTACTCTAGTTGGTATTCTAGTCTCAGGATTATATAAACTGATGTTCACATGTTACATTATTCCATTGGTCTAATTGTTTCCAAGCATCTTTCATTTTCATCATTCTTTTTTCCTCTGCACATGGAGAGACCAACTGTTGCATCTTAGACAGCTGCTCGTGAACTGCTAAGATCCTAGTCGCTATTCACCACAGTAGGATGTAGAACATTGATTTTGAGGACTATAATTGACCATGATGTTTCCTGAGACTATGTTCTTGAGCCCCAAGCTCAGAAACTCATTGTGCCAAGGAGTTTGGTAATGTCTAAGAAGTTTTCATAATTTTGCACCCCTGTATTCTGTACCACATTCATTGATATGTTTGCAGCAAAAATAAATACCTATGTACAAATATCTGTCAAACCTTTTCATATTTGTAGGTAAAATACCAATCTCCCTCCCATAACAGTTCAGCCTCTGCAACTCTCCATGTATCTACCTTAGAAAACTGTTGTAGTGTACGTAACAGTATTTATCTCTTCCCTTTAAATCTTGCATTCCTTCCTGTGTCTTCACCTGTCTTCATCAATATTTCTGCAACCTCCCTGTCACACAAATTAATATGAGTTCACTCCTTCTCAATGAATTACTGTCCCTCCTACCACTGATAACCATCAAAAAAAAGTTTATTTTAACATGAAAATCTTTACTAAATTTTTATGGTTTTCATTTATTTTTATGTGAAGCCATGATAATTTTATTTTATTAATTAATAATTAATTAATTTTATTATTTAGAATTTTATTCCCTAGCTTAAAACTATTTTATTTTGAAATTGACTTGACTTCCTTGCCACTTGGAGTTTCTTTATCTATAATCTTCATTTTGCCTTATAGTTATCTTCATTATAAAAATCATTATCTCTGGATACATATTTTCAATTTTGTAGCTTTGTTTTACTTTGGATTCTTCTATGTATGGGTTGAATTCTGGGAGGTGTTGCCATGCATATTAATCTTAAATTGTTGTCTGCTGTTATTGGTTCTTTGTTCAAAGAACTCCATTTTGTATTTTTTGTAAAGTTGATCTGATTATCATAAATTCTTTTAATTTCTGTTTATCCAGAAAATTTCTAATTTTACTGTCAGATTTGAGTGAGAATTTTTCTGTGAATAATGATTTTTGGTGACATTTTTTTCTTTCCATGTTTTGTTTCTCTTTTCCTATTGTCTTCTTGTCTTCATAGTTTCTGCTAAGAAATCAGAGTTTGTTTTTATTGATTCTCTTTTGTAGAAAATTTTTCATTTTTCCTGAGCTGCTTTCAGTAATTTTCGTAGTCCTTGAATTTGGATAATTTTATTATGATATATTCTGATTATTTTCCTTTGAGATCTATTCTATTTGGGATTAATTTAGCTTCTTGAATGCTGTTCTTCTTGTCTTTCAAAATATTGAGGATGTTTTCTTCCCCCTAAATTTTGAATATATTTTCTATATTTTTCTTTGCCTTTTCCTATTCCGGAATTCTGAACGTAAGTTATTCTTCTTCATGATGTCCCATGCATATCTTAGGCTTTCTTCTGACATTTTCCTTCTTTTTTTTCTAATTGTTTTTCTAGCATACAAGTATTAAGAGATTTATCTTTTAACTCACTGTTAGGCTTCCATTGATTCAAATCTACTCCTTTGCTCTTTCAATGTATTGTTCATTTCTGAAATCTTAGTATTAATCTAGATTTCTACCTGTAGATTTTGTATTGTCTCCAATCTTTCATCTATTTTTGTTTGTTTACTGAGGTAGTGTTTCCTGATTTATTCCTTGCTTCCCTCAACCTTTGTCTGAAACCATTGATGACACTTAAATATTCCTTTTTTAGTTATTTTTTTAAGTAGTTGCAACACTTATTTATTTTATTATTTTTTAGTAGAATTAGTTCATTTTAATTTGCGTTGTTATTGCTGGTCGGTGCCCTAAAGTTGGTTCTGAGAATGAACCACTGCCCAGTCCTGGTCCTGTGTCATTCTCACAATGTTTGAGCCCATTGTTGAAGGCATTATGGCAGTTCATCTCACTGACATTATTTTTCTTTCTTGATATCCCTTTATTTTACAATATAAAATGGCTGGTCCCTCCTGATGCATGTCCAAACTACATGACACAGAGTTTCTTACCTTCTCACTTCCAAGGAGTATTGTGACTGCACTTTTTCCAAACACATTTGTTCTTTCTTCTGGCTGTCCAGTTATTATACTTTGCCAGCACCATAACTCAAACACTTTAATTCTCCTCTGCTCTGTATTACTCATTGTCCAGTTTTTCACATGCATATGAGGTGATTGAAAATATATGGCTTGCGTCAGACATATCTTAGTACTCAAAGTGATAACTTTGCTTTTTAGCACTTTAAATAGATCTTTAGTGGCAGATTTGCCCAATGCACTAAGTCATTTCATTTCTTGATTTCTGCTTCGATGGGTGTTCAGTATGGACCCAAATGAAATAAAACCTTGGTAACTTCCATATTTTCTCCATTTACCATGATGGTTACTGGTCTAGCTATGATCTTTTTTTTTTTTTTTTTTTTTTTTGCCTAAGACAATACATCTTTTTTTTTCTTAAGTTTTTATTGTGAATTATGTGGGTTTACATGGGAGAACATCAGTTTACATTCATCCTATCATATTTCGTTTCATTGCAATGATTACAATCCCCTCCAAGCATCATCAAATAACCAAAGGATACACCCCACAGCCATGCCGCCCCGGCCATCAGCACACAGCCCCTCTCCCTCCCTTAGTCCCGTGTTCCCAGCCACTCCATCTGACTAAGTCATTGTATCTGTCTCCATGCCTGGCATCACTGCCTCTCTGGGTAGGGCCATGCTCTCTGCTTTTCTCACTTGATGGTTCCAGGGACCTCTGCTCCTCGGCTACAAAATCAATCATTGTCCTCCTTTTGTCAAAGAACATCTACCTCTACATTTCCAACCCTCACAGTCAGTCCTGATGGCTATTATTCAATATTATACCACAAGAGTCTTAGCCCCATTTCCTTTCACCAGCCTGGTTCCAACAGATTAAAAATCATTCACTGGAAATTCTTCCTACCCCTCCCCCATCTGGAACTAGGCTCCCTCTTGAAAGCTTGTAAGCCAATCACTTCTTGCCTCTATATCCCCGGCCCCCATTTTGGATAACCAATGTCTAAGTAGCCTATCCCTTGTCAACCTTGTGTACCGA